AAAGTCACCAATGAAATACTTAGATATTCCTTGCAAGACTGATTCTATTGCATTTAACACATATCTTTACCTTTGGTAACTGATACTACTAACTTTATTTGAAAACCTGATCATCATTTTTATTTGATAAAGCAAGTTGTTGTGTACTTGCCACAGCAACACACACATAGATGCACACATGCTCAAGATTGACCACACTACCAGTGTCAAACAAAGCCTCCTACTCAATAACACTACCAGTGTCAAACAAAGCCTCCTACTCAATACAAACAACAGTGGGGGCTCCTTTCAGTCCCACATGGGTCTGAGCAGTGAACCTTCTCTTGAGACAAAGCCTGCTGTTTCTTCAAGAAGACTAGTAATGTAATCCATTTTTAGTTGTCAGACAAAAGGCAGCACATTCTCCATATTTAAGACCCAAATGTTGCACTTTTAACACTGGTACTTAATCCACTGAGCTGCCCAGGCCAGTAAGAGGTCAAACACACCACCTCTGAGCGATCATTAATTTTTCTCGAACAAGATAAATGAGGTCAGTATTGTTTTTATTATAGAGTTGTACTCTTTTAAGTTACTGCCTACAAAATGCTATTACTTGTACCTGGTATTAAAGATGTTACATGACTGTAATCTTATGAAGTTATCTTGTTGTCCCCAGTTATTGAACAACTCACTTTGCTACACATTTCACGGGTCTCTTATAAAGTTCTTCATTATTTACTTGCATTGCTGGCTCTTTAGTATTTGTACATTATTATTATCTTTTCATAAAATTATCCAATTTTGCTGTATTTATTGAAGCATATCATATCAATTCTGTATAGACATTTACTTGCACACACACAAATTATTGAGCAGTATGTTGGTAATTTAGGTTAGCTTTGTTTGTTCAAATTTTTATACCCCATATCACAATAGCTTACGTTAGCAGAATTATTAAGTTCCACACATGTGATTCTTGTATTTTGTGGTATTGTACCGCATTGTAAACAAGTGGTGCCACAGCAGTACCTGCCTGGTTAAGGAAAGATTAGTGCTTACTTGGCAGCCACACAACAACAATCTTAGACAAACAATTCAAAGTGGTTTACAGGCCACTTCATTGCAACCCTTTCCATCGTTTTAAGAAACAATGAGCTGGAGCAGTTTTTGTTTACGCTGTTTCTCAGATGATGTCTACATGACCTCTAGGCTCGGGGCTCATATTAGACTCTGACCACCGTGTTATAAATTGCTCTAATCCAATTGAGCTGTGAAGTCGATTTTTTGCTGCAAATCAAGAAGTTTGTGATGTAGTTGTTCCTGTAATGTACATTTTGCATTGATCTGGAAACAATCCTCTGTGAAACTCGTAGAAGAAAAATAAAAGATACCTTTAATTTGTGTGATTGCAGTTATTTATATAAGGGTTTTACATATTTCCTCTTTAAACAAGGGACAGGTTTCATCCAAAATATTGGCAGACCTTCTTCATTATCTAAAAGAAGTCCATATTGCTATGGGCTTTCAATGAATAAATGTTGCACTTGTTATTTACTTGTAAGCTCATCTTTTTCATTTATTCTCCCAGCCTGATGCAGTTCCCCAGTGCAGCCATGCAACCTCCAGAAGCCAGTACCAAGACAGTAGTGAAAGCTTAGTAAAGAGGACGAGTGGATAAAAGAATATAAGGATGGTGAGAGGATGGTTTCCAACAAGGAAAAAATTTTCCTTCCTTTCCGAAACCGTAGATACCAGGATGGTGATAATACTATGTGTTAGTAGTTTGCAGTGTGGGGTTGGTTCCCTGCATGACATTTATAGGTTAATAATGGGAGATGACGTTGATGATGATGCTGGTGATGACAAAAATGACGGTGACAATCCACCAAGCACCGCATTCCCAGAAACGCCTTTCAACCTTGAATTATTTGGGCAATGGAGTTTACATACAGTTGTATATAACGCAGTGTTCCTAATAATGAGGTAATTAGAAAACAAACATTAAGTGTTCTCTAACCTGATAATGTTAATCAGTACATTTGTGTAATTTTTTTTAAGTGCTAGCCATTTGACAGGGTCAAGAAACAAGGGGTTGTGTTAATTGTGTATTAATACATCAAAGTTGATAAATCTGATTATAATTTTTACGTGCTGGAATTACAGCAGGCCTTTCTACTGAATGGAATATTGCATGTGTTCAAGCTGAAGAACATTTGAGAGCAACCTCAAACTTCATTGTCAAGGACATGGAACGCCCCCTGCACACAAAAGAAGCAGCCGCAAACACCACCACCAGTGAAGTCTACGACAGTGGCGAAGACTATGAAGAAAATGATGATGGAAATTAAGGCACTTTTTCGTATACTTCTTTAAGAATTTCCTTAAATACTGTTGATAACAAACGAATTTCAATAAACAAACATAAATATGCAGCAAACTCATTTAGATTTGTTTGCCATTGTTTTTTAAATGGTTTTCCAGCTTTGGGCACAGGCCTATCAAATTGCATATGCCACCCAACTTCATTCAATACCTGCTCATTGTTTTAATTAGCTGTAAGATGAATGTTTGAATTTTCTTAAGACTAGCACTTGATAACTAAACATCAGTCCCTGATATATTACTGTAGACACAAGTTTTGAGTTGACGGATTACATTAATTTGATGACTTTGTTTCAAGGCAAATGTATTTCATAAGAGAGATTTGTTTGAAGGGCTGAAAGACTTTGCACAACGTAAAATGTCATAAATGTTGATCGCTGAACATCATGGACGAGGCTGCTTGTTCGAGTACGGGACATGAGAGAATGTAACCGCGGTCGCAGACACAAAGACCCCAACAACTGGAACAAGAGGAAGACAAACAATCAAACGCAAAGAAGTCATTAACCAAGAGGGAGAAAGTAAAGCTCAAAAGAAAGAAAAGAAAAGAGAAAAAGAAGGAACGAAGAAGACAGTTGAAAGCGATGGGAAACGAGGACCATATTACTCTCAATAGGACAAAAAGGAGAAAATTGAAGGCAAGGGAGCGAAAAGTGGAGAAGAGGTTTGAGGAGAGAAGGAAGAAAGACGAGGAGGAGAGGAATGCAGCTCGATACACATACAAATTGTGTTCCTCCTCGTCTGACGACTAAAATGTAAAAAGACTACTTAATTAACAACAAATAATGTAAATAATTTTTTAAAAAAACACCTGTACATAGTTAAAAAGCACCACTGTAAATAGTAGAAACTGAATGAAAATGATTAATCCCTCTATTCCAGGGCTCGAAATTAACGGTAACCTGTTAACCAACGGTTAGTAATTTTCAACGTTTGGTTACTAAACATGTGTCCAACTAACCCGACATGGTTAGTAAAAATTTTCTTAAATATTTAAATTATGTTATGGAAATAACCTTTTTACAAGTAAATGTTAATTTTTAGGAACGATTTTTGTGTTGTTTTCTTGCATGAGATTGTTTTCTGTC